GACTCAACGGCACCTAACAACAACAACTTTTTATATATATTATCAGTAGCTTGGATTTTCTCTGACTTTCATTACTAAAATCAAAAGTAGGACCCATCCCCTCCCCCCGCAAAAAATGCTTCTTTTCTGCCACTTCCCTGGTGTTCATACCTCTCTTGCAAGTTTCAAACACGGTATTTTACCTTCCTAATTGGCAAAAATCTCAAGGTTTATAGGGTTATTAGAGCATTGTTTGCAATAACAAAAGACAAAGCAAGCCGAGAGGACTTCAGTTGGGCACTGCTTAAATAGGCTGTGGCAGAGGGCACCTCACATGGGTGGCCAAGAGGTCCTGCTGAGGCCAAAGCGTGAGCAGTCTCAGTCCCGCTTTGCTGGGCTGCTTGTGGGAGGCCAGGGGACTGGGTCCAGTGAAGAGAGGGCTGTGCCAGGTGAGGAGGAGACAGGGGACACTAGCCAGCCCATTTCTCAATGAACATGGCAGAGCCTGAGCAGACCAGGCGCCAACTTCCGTTTCCAGGTTCCACTGCCCATGTACTCATGGCCACTTCCGGGCACAATCCACCGTTGTTGTGCCTTCTCAAGGAGCTGTCCTGGAAACAGAGAGCTCAAGAATAACGGAAAAAATATTCCCCGACAACCTTTCCTGACAGAAAAACGTTACTTCAAACCACTCAGCATTTGGATTTAATAGCAAGCAAAAGCCAAAAGGCCGTAGTGCTGGTGTCTCCACTGACTGACCCCACTGGAGGGTACAGACCTGAATAATTTTTCCCTCATACTTGTGGTTGATTGAAGGAAAAATAAGACTTTTCCACTCCCAAGGTCATGTTCTCACTGATCCTGCATTTCAAGCCTATAGTACAGCAGCATGCTGGTGAATGCTGCTGTCTGGAGTTCCCCCAGTGAGTTTGGACATTGAGGCATTTATTGTCAGCTTCCGGGTTAAGTAATGTAGTAGATCATTCGGGAAGGTTGCATGAGCTGATGACCTGTGCTGACCAGCACATTTCCAGCTCCCTGCTAACAAAGTGGAAAACTTGGGAGTTGACATTGATTGTAGACACCAAATGACCTGGAAAAGGAAGGTCAAATACCTCTACTTCTATGGTTAATTCCAAAAGGGGTTACTC